AAAGACTTATTTCAAAATGATCCAAGATAAAGAAGTCGAGAGGTTTTAGCCTGTACAATTGTGTAGTGACTTCCAAGAAGCTGTTCTAGAAGAAACCCTAAATTTTGGCAGGAGGATTCTAAATACCTCTTATATTTGGCTATGCCTTTATATCTACAGCAGGAAGAAGCTATATTGTTGAAACTGCTATGGTGACTGCATATCAGGTGATAATCTCTTGCATGCTAAAGGTGTAGATTATTAAATTCAGACTAATTAAAATGGTGCTAGGCATATTCTGTTCTAGTAGTTCTGACACAGAAAGCTATCTGGACCAAGAAATAGGTATAATCAGTGCTTAGATAAAACCATTTGTTTAAAAAGAAGATAATACTGAAATTGAATCATATTAAACCATAATTCCATTCTTAACGAGTGTAGTTTCTTAATGAAAGTGTAGGCATTTCCAGACAGAAGATAACTGTTAACCTTTTCAATGCCATAAAAATGTCATCAATAGCTAAGCATTTGTCAAGGAGAAGACACTGCTGCTTGGACAACAGTTTTACAAGGACTGATATTTTAACCTCCAGCCCTGTGTCTCCTTAGTGATATCAAGAAAGAAACATTGAAATTCAAGTTTATTTTTATTCTACACACCTCAGCTTTTGTCACAAACCTAAAAATGAGTTGTGCATATTTCACCATTTTGACTGTCTGTAGGCAGGTGGATATATCTAAAAGGCTCAAGTAGCAAATGGGAGATGGAAAAATAGAAGGCTGCATGTTTAGCTTGGTGATGAATGGATTCTGAGGCAGCTGCTTGCATTCCTTCAAACTTCATCTGCATTAGCAGTGGACAGTGTTCTGGAACTGTGTGCAGCTGGCTGGAATTCATGTTTGTAATAAACATGGTTTATTTGGATAGAATTTTTTAGATTCTTTTCATTGATGTGAGGTTTATCCACAGCCCAGATGCTTTCCCTTTTCAGGAGTTATTCAAAAGATGAGTTGTTTCTGACAGGTAGAGTGTATGTGTGCTAAGCTTGTAAATCATATCAAGGATTCTTTTCACTTGAAAGAATGGAAAGAATACAGGAAGCTGTCTTTTTTTTGGAGTTATGTTTTCTTCTAAAACAGTTATACCGTATCCCTAAAAGCTTAATTGTTTCTGGTTTAGTAAGCACAGAGCTGTATACTTAAAGACTTTATTGTTTCTGATACAAATAATAGCTTTCATTACCTTTCGTGTACAATTTTGTGATTGTCCCCTGTGTTTATATTTTTTCCCCCAAGTATTTTTTGTCACAGGACATGAGTTACTTTTGACTGAAATTGTTCACAGTGTCTATAGCAAATCTGTGACAAGAGGGATTTCCTGAGCCCTGCTCACAACATTATTCTTGTAGTTGTGACCTTGCCTTGGAGTTTCAGTATTGCAGTGCTACCCACAGAAATTGTAGCAGTGGGTATTACAGATGCTGCAAAAACTTACATCAGTTTAATTTGAAAAGTCTCTGTGTTAATATGCCTAAACCGGAAATGAAGCAGCTGATTTATGGTCCTGTGACAGAGTGCTGCTGGCTGAGATCACTACCCCTATCCAGTTTTCTGCATGAGGCTATCGTACCCACAGCACAGGATGGACAGTGCATGACCTGATGATATTCGCAGCCTAACATTGTCACATAACAACCATCAACACATTTTACCACGAGCCGCTTGGCTACAAACTAAGACAGTTGAGAAGCAGATCTAATAGGCTTCTACTTCTTCCACCACATGGAATATGTACTCTCTAGCAAAGATCTAGATGGACAGTTGAAAGCAGTGAGCCTTCAGGTGCTTTAGATAAACCTAAAAAGTCCTGTGAGTCAAAGGTAGTACTGCCTCAGTAGCTTAATAAAAGTTATCTCGCCACTCCTTGGCTGTAGCAGAATTCAACTGTCTTGCAGTCTATGAGATAACAATGCTAATTCCTTTACAGCAAACAAAATAATTCAGACAACTTTCCTAGCTTGACTTCCTGAATTTAGTTTTGTTCTGTATCTTTAGTGAGAATAAGCCTTGTTCTCATAACCCTGTCTAGACAAGTTCCATGCAGCCAAGAGCAGAACTGATACTGCCTGAGACCCAGACAGAAGATTCACCTTCAAGACTAGTCTCTTTTCCTGTAGAAAATGCTTTCTATTATATAGCAATTAACATCTGAGTTTGTAGTTTGACAGCAATACAAATGCTAATACCCCTTTGGTTTCATCTACAAAAATTGACAGATCATCTCTTCTCTACCTACCTAGAGTAGGTAGCTTTTGAGCAATTGCCTGTGATGTACTATGTTGTGTCTGAAGACCTTCTTACCTAGGACAGAAACAGAATGAAGAGTTCAGTGACTGTTATATTTATATATTTTGTTTGTAAAATGATGTGGAGGACAAGATTTAGGAGAAAAGTGTAAGACCTTACAGAGTTCATATTAAATTAAAACAAAATTCTGAACAGCTACAGTTTAAGTCTTTGTAATCCAGCAGAAAAATACAGAAAGGACTACAGGGCAAGGTAACTGCAAAAATTTGATAGTGTGTACACCAATGGAGAAAAATGTTAGAATATAACTTCAAGTATGTAATTAAAAGTATCAGGACTAAATTTGGAACGGGTGAATATGACAAGCAACACCTTGACAGAATGAGCTGTCAAGGTGTTGCTTGCAATGAACTGGCAATGAAATAGTCTTTTAAGGTAAGTGACTGCAGGTGGACATTTTAAAACTAGACAGGACAGAAATACAAATATCAATTGGATACAATTTTATTCTGCCATGTCAAGGATTGAGGCTGGGCCTGCCATTAACGAATGACAGACGCTCTCTATTAACCCCTCTCCCCTCCCAGAAGGAGAAATGAGAGAGAACAAGGGAGAGAGACTTATGGGTTGGAAAAGAAAACTAAAACAGCTTTAATGAAACAATAGCAATAAAAGAAAAGATAATAGTAAGAATAAGAAAATAATGAAATATATACAAATATATACAAAACCAATACTGAACGCAACTTCTCCCACCCTGATGATGTTATGTCACCGCTGATGCTGCAGAGCTGGCACTGGGGCAGTCCCAGGCTGGACTCGGCAGCAGACAGGAACTGGATGCAGGAGCTGGACTCAGGCACTGGATTCAAGGATGCATGGATCAGGATCGAAGGTAGAAGAACAGAGTCCTCCTCAGATGTCGCCCATCGAAGAAGAGAGATTGACCCGCACAACCCCTCAGCTTTATACTGAATATGATATATATGGGATGGAATACTCTGTTGGCCAGTTTTGGGTCACCTATCCAGGTCACTCCTCCCTGCAGATGTGACTTTTTACATGCTTGTGACCCTTTTCACTCACACGGAGTACAAGATTTAGCAGTGACCTTGATTGTTATAAGAACAAGTATAAGCAAGGGCCTGTCTGCATGCCATTCCTTGGTATTAACTATAAACATCGAGTGTTATCACTGCTACAAGCAGTCACTGTCTGGAAAAACTTGCTGTTGATTTCTCAGAAAGTGCAGTTACTTAGAAGAGACTTAACTGAAAAGTAAAAACACTAAACCAGAATTAGTTCTGGTTTAACCCAAACCAGGACAGGAGGTGAACTGGGTGAGGTGTTAAAGTCAAAAAAATAAGAAATAGAGAAGACGTATAAATAAAGCACGTGTGGATCTTTGGGGATGAAAGGTGTTACAGGAACATAAACCACTAGTATTCATTTTTCACAGATGGATCAAAGAAACTATCATAAGATGACACATTTAAATCTTCAAATGAACCAGGAAAAAAAATGTGGTGTGAGGTTTTTTTATATTGAAGTAAACTGAACTAGGCTAATTGATGCTATTCAGAGAGAGTACAAGGGATTGATGTCTCATAGTATCAAGCTATAGAAGATACAGTGAACTTTACAAAGGTGTCTAGGAGAGGCTCAGTCAAATCTGGTCTCCACTGGGAAATTACTAAATCTGAAAATAAATTTTTAAAAAGTACAAGAGGATGTGACATATTTTAAGTAGGATTGACCTTCTTAATATATGAAGTTGTTGACCCATAATTTGCAGATGACTTAGTACATAAGTGAAGCTGTAGCATCTTGCTCAGTATTTCTGTTTTCTGCATTTTCCTTCATATTAAAAATGAAAGATGTAGATGTACTTGTGGGCCAGACCATGGTCTGTGTCTCATGTTTGTGAAACATTCTGTCTTCTGTTTTAGATTGTATAGGTGTCAAATCTGAGTCAAGGGGGTGTGAGCGTTCTGGCTCTATGGAAATTTTGTGTTGGAGATGCAATACAGAAGGAAAAATAAAGTGCAGTGGGCCAGGAGGTGTTGGGAACACATAACTCCTGCATCTCCCAAAACCAGGAAACTGAATTAAGGGATCACATATCCCACACAGCTCACTTACAGTGCTTTCTGGACGTACTGAGAGACTTTTAGATAGTGTCAGAGACTTTGAGATATTGTGAGCATTCTCAGACCTCCCTCATCAATACAGCCAGATACATTACCTGACAATTAAGAATTGACTGAATCCTGTCCTTGTTGGCAACACTGTGTTCAAAAACCTTTGCTTATGACCTCTTCTTTGCAGGGGAACTATTTATTACAACTTACCTATCACAAAACTGTGGCACTACAACAGAAAAAGACACTAAAGGAGAAAACTTAGCTGTTAACTGCCTTGTGTCAATGTTTGGAGTCATCCACTTCAGCCAACACCAATAATTTGCCATTATTTTGCACTGATGTAGGTATCTGCAGAGGAACATCATGGAAAAAAAATAAGAAAATTTTCCAAGACAGAGAAAATAAGTTAAAGAGCCAGGAACGGAAGGCAGCCTGAATTTCACTTATGATACCCCAGGTGTCTTTGGTCTTCCTATCTCCTAGCTACTTACAATAATATCACTATGCTAGACAGAGAGAGAAATGTTTTCTTTTAATGATGCCTCTTAACAATATTCCATGTTGTCCTAGGTTTGCCCCATCCCATCCCAGCCTCCTCAGCCTACTGTTGTTCCAAAGCCAGTTCAATCTGTCATACATGTCCCATTGCAACCAAGCTGCCCAGGCCGAGGCAAGATGGCGAAGCTCATCAATCCAGAAGAGATGACATCCAGGGATTATTACTTTGATTCGTATGCTCACTTTGGTATTCATGAGGTAATATTTATTTGTACTTCAGCAATTATTACATCATCATCATCATCGTGTTTTCTTTGATTTATTAGTTATTTATCCCCCTCTCACTTGCTCTTGGTTATATTCTTCTGCCTTTCCTCAGAAAATTGTATAATCTGGTTAGGTGCCAAAGATACTACCCACTTTTCTAGAGACCTGTACTCAAAAACCTCTGTCCCACTTAGATCCTTATGTATGAGTTCTCCACAGAGCTTATTTTAGCTATCTGTGCAGTGGTGATCTTCATGAGTGCATCAATTTAGTGCATTTATGAGGGCTGCAAACTAACCTAACCATACATGGAAACTACCTTATTGCTAAGTTAGGTCTTTTGTTCTCTTGTGTATTTGAGCACAGATACCAGCAGAACAGCTACTCAACTGACATGAGAAGCCAATTTCTTGACTACCGGCATGTTACTTCAGTGCACAGGCTGCATTTATGGGAACATATAGCCCAATAGCCTCCAGTAAATACATTCCTGGAAAGAATTCAAAATACACAGCGGACCATATTTACCATCAAAAAGTTGACCATAGACCAATTCTAAAGAAGACACTAATATCTTGTATTTACATCACCCAGGAGGATGGGATCTTAAAGACTAGGATGCAAAAAGGCCAATAATATGAAATGGGTGGCACTTTACCACATAACAAACAGTATCTATTTCCATTACTCTGGTAACTGTTTGTGTGGCATACACATAAACAGAAGATTTGTATCTGCCAATTCCATCTTGCCAGTGTAGAAATTCAATCCAAGAACGGAAGAGGATAAAGGAACAGTTGAGTGGGAAGGACACCTAAAAGAAATATTGAAGACACATCAGAGACCTCAAATCAGATTGAGCCCCTGATAGAAGGATGCAGCTCTGTAGGTCTCAGGGAGTGCAGGGAGTACCTGGGGCCTCATGCTGAGGCTGGGAAGTGGGAGATTGCCTCCTTGCCTGCAAGAGGTAGAGGATCTGTGTCAACAAGTAAAGGAGCTGCTAGAGGAGGCTGGCAGACTTTGCAGCATCGGGGACATGAGGAAGAGACTGACTGGATCTTCTCCAAGATCCTGAAGGTACAAGAGCCTACATCCCCAACTGTACTGAAAGGAGGGGCAGTCAGAGTCTGTACTTACCCAATTTGGAAGTGGAGACTCCTCTAATGGTGAAGGCTGGAAGAAGATGACAAAGACTTGTGACTTCTTGCAACGGGAGGAAGGCTCCTGATCCACCTGCAGATCATTTGCTCCAGAATAGGTTCAGTGCCTTCATTGTCAGAGGCAGGAAGTTATGTCCAATGAAGCATCAGAATCAGTTGGCCCTGAGCCACGCAGAAGCTCTGGGAGGAAGCGACAAGTGATAGTAGTGAAAGGCTCTCTCCTGCAGGGGACAGAGGCCCCCATCTGCTGACCTGACTTGCTGTCCAGGTATTTGGATCTGTGACATTGTGGAGAGGCTGCTGACATTTGTCCAGCCCTTAGACCAGTTCTCGGTTACTACTGCTGCTCTTCCACATGAGTACCAATGAGACCTGGAGCATGTCAAATGTGACTACACAGATCTTAGAATCAATAGCAAGGTGTGCCAGGTGGTTTTTTGCCTCAATTCTAACAGTGCAAATAAAGACTTGAGGGGAAGTGCTCCTACAGGTCCACAACTGGTTGTGCAGCAGGTGTCAATGATGTTTCCAGCTTTTATGTTGACAGGACCCTCTTTGAGGATTGAGGTCTGCTAGGAAGAGATGGAATCCACCTGACAAACTGGGCCAAAAGCATCCTTGCCAACAGGTTGGCCAACCCGGAGGAGACCTTTAAGCTAAAAATGTTAGAGAAAGGAGATGATGAACAACAGTCACATGGGGAGGTGGTAGACTGAGTTGGTAAGCAAAACATGCAGGGCAGGGTAATGTGGACAAGACCTTATAGCTGGTCAATAAAACAGATCACCCCTAGTGTAAGCACACAAAAAAGGAAGTACCAAGAGGCAGCATTATGGGGGAAGGTCTCATACCTTTTCTGAAAAATCAGTATGATGGAGAGCCTCTCTGAAGTGCCTGTACACTAATATATGCAGCCTGGTAAATGAACAAGAGGAAGTAAAAGTCAGTGTGCAGTTGCATGGCTACAGTCTCACAGGATCAAAAAGATGATCTCCAGAGGTCACTTTCCAACTCCTACCATTCTGTGATTCTGTGACATGCTTTGAGATTGCAGACAGGACTGGAATGCCACAACATCTGGATACAGGCTCTTCAAGAGGGACAAACCTGGAAGTTGAGAAGGGAGATGAATCGGCTGAATGCATGGAATCACGTCCACTATGGACAGATGATATTCCAACTGAGAGCTTATGGGTCAGGATTAAACAGCAGACCAACATGGTTGACATTGTTGTGGGTGTCTGCTACAGACCACCTAATCAGCAAGAAGGAATTAGATGAGGTCTTCTTCAGACAACTGAAAGAAGTCTCATGTCTGCACGAGACTTGAGTCTGATTTCTGGTCCATGAGAGACTTTAATCACCCCAACATCTGCTGAAATGTAATGGAACAGGACATAAGCAATCCAGGACATTTTTGGAGTGCATGATGTAAATTCCTGGCACAGATGACCTGAATCAATGGTGGGGATGGGGAGGGTAGGCAAGTGGTGCTCTGCTGGTCCTGATACTCACTAAAAATAATGAACCAGCTGGGGATGTGATAGTCAAGACACACTTGGCTGCAGTGACCATGAGCTGGTGAAGGTCAGGATCCTGAGGTCATGGATGTTCTCTCAGGATTCATGCTGTTTGTCTTGTTGACAGCCCTGTGTTTCAGGAGAGCAGTCTTCATCCTTTTCAGGGATCTGCTTGGAAAAATTTCATGGGAGATGGTCCTGCAGAGAAGAGGGGTCCAGGAAAACTGGTTGATTTTAAAGGCTCACCTCCTCCAAGAACAGTGCATCCTGACATGTGGAAAGTCAAGCAATGGTGGCAGGAGGCCTGAGTGAATGAACAAGAAGCTCCTGACAAAATTCAAACCAAAAAAGAAGCATACAAGAGGTAGAAGAAGGGTTGGGTGACCCTGAAGTAATTTCAGGGCCAGGGTTAGGAAAGCTAAGTTCTATCTGGACATGAATCTGGCAAGGGATGGGAAGGGTAACAAAGCAGGGCTTCTCTAGGTATAGTAACAGCAAAATGAAAACTAGGGAAAAGGTCGGACTCTTGCTGAATGAGACAGGGTATCTGGTGAGAAAGGACATGGAAAATTACTTCTTCAGTTCTGGTTTTACTAGTAAGACTTGCCTTCAGGAATCCCAGGTCCCTAAAATGAGTCTAGAGTGAGCAAAGTCTAGAGTGAGGAAGACTTACCATGAACAGAGAAGGATCACTTAAACAAACAGGACATACATAAGTTTATGGGACCTGATGGGCTGTCTCCACCAGGGTTGAAGGAGCTGGTTGATGTCATGGCCACAAACTTGACTGGAAAAAAAATATTCTTTACTGGGAGGCTGGTAAAATGCTGGCTATGGAGCCTCCATCCTTGGACATATATAAAACCTGATTGGAAAAGGCTCTGAAAAACCTGTTCATGTTATTTGTGCCTGTTGTTCTTTAATTAGTTACAACTGAGAAGAGTCTGTCTCTGCCTTCTTTCCCTCCCCACTCAACACACATTGATAGGATCCCCCTGAACCTTCACTTCTCCAGGCTGAACAATCCTAGCGCTCTCAGTCTGTCCTCATGTCAGATGCTTCAGTCCCTTAATCATCTTCATGGGCCTTCACTGGATCTGCGCCAACATCTCTTGTTCTGGGGAAGCCAGAGCTGGGCACGGGACCCCAGACGTGGTCTCACCAGTGTTGAACCACCTCCCTTGACCTGCTTTTTTTTAGTGCAACCCAAAACGCTGCAAGGGCACATTGCTGGGTCATGTTCAGACTGATGTCCACCAGGTTCCTAAGGTGCTTTTTGGCAAACACTGCTTTCCAGACAGCCAGTCCTCAGCCTATATTAGTGCATGAGGTTATTCCTCCTCATGTACAGGACTTTGCATTTCCCTTTGTGGACTTCTTGAGATTCCTGTCAATTTCTTCAGCTTGTTGAGATCCTTCTGATTTGCAGCACAACCATCTGGTGAATCAAACACTCTTCCCAGTTTTCTATCAACTGCAAACTTTCTGAGACTGCACTCTGTTCCATCATCCAGGTTATTACTGAAGGTATGTAACAGTATTGGTGCCAGTATTGACTCACACTAGTGACTGGCCTCCAGGTAGACTTCATGCTGCTGATCACAACATTTTGAGAGTCAGTTCAGTCAGTCCACTTCACTGTCCATTTATGTAGTCAATATTTCATCAGTTTTTCAATGAGGATGTTACGGGATACAGCGTTGAAAGTCATGCTAAAATCATGATAAATAAGCATCCACTCCTCTTACCTCATCCACAGAGCCTATTTCTATTTCACCATAGAAAGCTATCAGGTGGTCAATCATCTGCAGTTCCATACTGAACACTCCCAATCACCTTCTTTTCTGTAATATGTTTGGGAAGAGTTTCCATGAGGGTGTGCTCCATCACCTTTCCAGTGTTGTTGGACAGTTCCTCTGCCTTTCTTTGCCTGATAGCAAACCATGCTTTATGATGCTAAAAGTAGCCTTTTATTCGTCTACAGTTACTGAGTACATACAGTTTCCTGCCCAGACAGGTAAGTGAGCAACTGATATATGTAACAATCCAGTGCACTAGTGTCACCAAAATCAGGAATAAACCTCCTAACACCAGTGTAGTATTAAGAAGCAGGCATTCTTTTATTGTGGCACCGGATGCATGGATCGCTCTGCCCAATGTGCATGCCATATGTTGCATCAGCCAAAGCTTGTATTTTCCTCTTACATACATATGCATTAGATTTCCCAGAAAGTATATACATATTCATTCTATTTTCTGCAACTAATGATCATATTTACATAGTTATTAGGCATGTGGCCTGGGTCTCTGAGGGGCTTCCATGGGGATCTTTGGTGGGCAGTGAACTGATTCTTTTTATCCTGAAAGGCAAAAACTCATTTGCCCACTTAAACTATGAAATGATGGCTGTAGTATAAGCAAAAGTTCAGCCTTCTGGACGTAAGAGAAGTATTTTGAGAAAATTAAAGTGTGTATTGAATGGTCTTAAAAATGGCACTTGCATCTTGACCTCAGTGCTCTTTATTGATATAGTTTGAAAGATATATGCACAGTTGAGAGCAAGGTGTCAAGGAAATGAAATGCATGTACTGCTGCTATCAATGAAGCAAAAATCAGCACCTAACAATGACAGCATAGTGAGATAGTGGTCTAGCTTAGACATTAATATCTTCTGGAAATTGGTCACATAAATGAGCGAACAGAAGAGCAGTAGGGAGTACCCTAGTACAGCACATTATCTCTAAGCTCTGTTATGGACTTCCTGCATCACTTTGGGCAAGGCTATCAAGACTGTTGTCTTACAAAGGTTTATGGAACGATTTCTTTTGTGTTCACTCCAATCTTCAAAAAGGGCAAGAAGGAGGATCCAGGAAACTACAGGCCAGACAGCCTCACCTCCATCCCTGGAAAGGTGATGGAACAGCTTATTCTGGCTGTTATCTCTAAGCATGTGGAGGAAAAGAAGATTATCAGGAGTAGCCAGCAAGGATTCACCAAGGGGAAATCATGTCTGACCAACCTGATAGCCTTCTATGATGGCATGACTGGCTGGGTGGATATGGGGAAAGCAGTGGGTGTTGTCTACCTTGACTTCAGCAAGGCTTTTGACACTGTCTCCATCACATCCTCATAGGTAAGCTTAGGAAGTGTGGGATAGATGAGTGGACAGTGAGGTGGATTGAGAACTGGCTGAAGGACAGAGCTCAGAGAGTTGAGATCAATGGCGTTGAGTCTAGTTGGAGGCCTGTAACTCCAGGTGTTCCCCAGGGGTCAGTACTAGGTCCAGTCTTATTCAATATATTCATCAATGACCTGGATGAAGGGATAGGGTGTACCCTCAGCAAGTTTGCTGACGATACAAAGCTGGGAGGAGTGGCTGATATGCCAGAAGGCTGGCCTGCCATTCAGTAAGACCTGGACAGGCTGGAGAGCTGGGCAGAGAGGAACCTAATGAAGTTCAATAAGGGCTAGTGTAGAGTCCTGCGCTTGGGGAGGAATAACCCCGTGCACCAGTACAGATTGGGGACTTGCTGGAGAGCAGCTCTGCAGAGGACTGGGGAGTTCTGTTAGACAATGAGTTGACCATGAGTCAGCAATGCATCTTTGTGGCCAAGAAGACGAATGGTATCCTGGGGATTAAGAAGAGTGTGGCCAGCAGGTCAAGGGAAGTCATCCTCCCCCTCTACTGCCCTCCTGGGACCACATCTGGAGTACTGTGTCCAGCTGTAGGCTCCCCAGTTTGAGAGGGACAAGGAGCGACTGGAGAAAGTCCAGTGGAGGGCTACAAAGATGATTAGGGGACTGGAGGATCTCTCTTATGAAGAAAGGCTGAGAGACCTGGAGCTCTATAGCCTGGAGAAGAGAAGACTGAGAAGGCACCTTATCAGCACTTTCAAATAGCTAAAGGGCAGATGTCAAGAGGATGGGGCCAGGCTCTTTTCCGTGGTGCCCAGTGACAGGACAAGAGGCAATGGGTGTAAACTGGAGCACAGGAAGTTCCACCTGAACATGAGGAAAAACTTCTTGACTTTGAGGTTGACAGAGCACTGGAACAGGCTGCCCAGGGAGGTTGTAGAGTCTCCTGAATATCTCTGGAGATATTCAAAACCCACCTGGATGCAATCCTGTGCAACCTGCTCTAGATGAACCTCCTTTAGCAGTGGGGTTGGACTAGATGATCTCCAGAGGTCCCTTACAACTCCTACCATTCTGTGATGTTGTGACTCTGTGATACAAAGAGGAACCTCAGAAAGTCCTGCTGCTGAGGCTCTAGGTTGTGCGTGATTTAGGAGAAAAGGAAGACTTAGATTGCTGCATGGCTTCTGTCTATATCCAAAGCAGTGCTGTGGTTAGGTTACATTCTGGTTGTCAATTGTAACAATGAAGTAGTTTTTAGAGAAGTAAAATTGTACAAAGGACATCATGCTTCTTAATAATTCAATTATAAGTAGCTAGCATTTCACAGTTGCTTTGATGTGTGCACTCCAAAACACTTGAAAAACTCTTCAGGATGTGGGTTAATAATGCTTAAATTACAATAAGCGAATCCATTCAGCAGCAGTGTTGAATGCATATAAGCACTTCAAATAATAATGCAATGCGCTTTTTTTCTCATCACAGGAAATGTTAAAGGATGAAGTGCGCACATTGACCTATAGAAATTCAATGTATCACAATAAACATGTTTTTAAAGATAAGATTGTCCTTGATGTTGGAAGTGGCACGGGAATCCTCTCCATGTTTGCTGCAAAGGCAGGAGCCAAGAAGGTATATGGGGTAAGAAGACTTTCTCTCGTATTTTGAGTTTGGTTGTGCATTTTGCCCAGAATTTAGCTTGGTGTTTTACCTTTTCTTACTTGTCTTGGTTTGAAATTCTTCTTTCCAAGCTCTGTGTGGCTTAATTTACAGTGATTCAGTGGAGTTCTGTTGCTTTCTATGACTTGCAGTAGTGTGCCTTTTCCAAATTGAGATATAATGCCTTTTCTTGTGTTGAATCTTTGGTGGTCTGGTACATATCCCCATTTCTTCCTGGCTGCAAAATAAAAAAGTTAAAGGGACTCACTCCTACTCAGAGCGGTCAAAGGAATTATCTTGCTTTTTTTAATTCTTAAGTCCTGCAACTTTGTAGTCTTGGAAACAAATTTATTTAATACACTTTTCTCTGTACATTACAACTCAGCAAATCATGCGAGAAAGCACGTGCATGTTTTCTGTGCCAATAGTAACACTTTCCAGAGGCAGAAGGGAAAGATTACCTTAAATACCTTGCATTTTAGGAGCATGACTGTACAATTCTCTGCAGAGAAGTCATTAGAGAGAGCATATATTTACTTCCTAAGTATATTCAGAGTTACTTGTACTGACTCTAAAATGACAAATAGAATTTCTTTTTCCTCTGGACTTCTGCTTACCGTGCAGGCACAGCACAGCACAGAAAAGGGGAAGTAGATTCTATTTCTCTGTGTACTTCTTTGACAAAATTGTTTACTAAAACTTACTTGGCTACACCTGTGCATTTGAAGACACTGATGTCACTGAGTATCTAAACTGTGCATCTTTATTACTAGTAATGATACATGAGATACAAGGACTCCTATTCAATTCTCAAAATCCAATGTTAATTCCAAGTGCCTCATCTGAATATCAGACTAGAGCATGGAAGTATAGTTAGCTGAAATCAGAAGGTGCTGGCAAAAGTTTTGGAGTTTAGGCATGAGACAATATACAAAATTGGCAGCTAGAATGTATTTCCTGTAAACCAAGTACACAATTTATTATCTCAAAGCCTCAGGGAGAATAAGCCTGTAGCTTTCTCTGATGCAGGTCTCACGCAGTGCTGTAAAAGTATAAGCATATACAAAATGAGGATGCTGTGCTCCTACCTTCCTATCTCCCAGATCCCCGGCCATATGGTCTTCCTTCATCCCTTGTGCTGGCACTGGTGCTTATCTGATTCTACAGTGAGCCTACTCACTGGCATAAAATTCCCCCAGTAAAAAAAAAGTAAATACTTTTTCACAGGTTTATTGTTGGTTTTTGTCTTTACTTTGGACTTCTTTACAGTTCAGGCTGTACCTCAGGCATTTATAAAGTTCAGTGGCACACCAGTGTCAGCTCATCCGTGGACTGTTCAGCACTGAAGCTGGGGGCTGTGCTATCCAGGAAACTTAGCTCTCAAAGGAATTCACTTAGGTGTGAAACTCCTCTGCTATGGCCTAAGAGTTTCAGTCCTCTGGTCACATGAGCTACCTCACCATGAACCCCGTCACACAGCAAGCTGCAGAGTTGTATTGTGTTGGAAAAGCTGATATTTCAGAGATCTGGCAGTGGCAATCTTACAGGCAAGTTCAGACTTTATGGTCTTTAAGGTCTCTTCCAATTCGAACCATTCTATGATTCTGTGACTGTAAACTGAGGTACAGACATATTTTATTGGAACACATACTTTTTGTAAAATCCAGATGCTTTGTAACACTGGACAGATTTGAGATCACTGACTTGAAAGAGAACCAAGGAAAAAACCTTACAACACTGGATTTTTTTCCTATTTCTTCACCTAAAGAAATCAGTATTTTCTTTTTCTGAAATGAGTTGCTTTTTAAAATAAAAGTGTACCACAGTATAGAGTCCAATTCAAAACAGAGACGAACAGTTTTAGCCACCCTAAAGCAAGTTTGTTTTCTTAAATATATATTCCTTCCTGGAACATTTGAGTGTTAGGGTTTTTTAATTATTTTTCTTCTTTGAGAATGAAGCTCATTTTGGGAAACTCATAGTCATTCATGAAACAGAACTATTTCTTCACATCTTTTTCTTTAGAAAGGCTGGAAAGCCACCTCCAAACACCTACATACCCATGCTTTATTTAAAAATCATCCAAAACAAGCAGAAAGAATGGGCAATGAAATTGAAAGTGCCAGAGACGTGAATATGGACAGGAAAACTGAGTATGTTATAATAGCTGTAAGCATACAGTTTACAGTAAGGGAAGAAGCAGCTGGATGGAGAAAAAGGATGGAATTCTCCCCAGGGGATGTATTGCTTGGACTCTCTGGACTGGCACTCTGGTGTTCCTTTCTAACATGCCAGTTTTGGTTTATGTTCAGGCCATTGAGTCAGACATCTTAAAGCACAGTTTATATCCACAGGCAAGTTAAGTAGAATTAAGGCTCATGTTCCCTTGGGGACAGGGATTGGTGTTATGGTTGCTAATACATCTAGCTGTTTCAAGGGCTATATAAAAGAATAAGGGTTTTGTGTGTCCTTCCATCTGCTGAGTGCCAGCAGAGAGGTCAAGAGGAGCTTGGCTTTTAGAGGTTAAATGGAATTCTCTGGACATATGAAACACCTCACTGGACATAACATAATTCTATTTACACAATCATAGAATGGTAGGGGTTGGAAGGGACCTCTGGAGATCATCTAGTCCAACCCCTCTGCTAAAGCAGGTTCACCTAGAGCGGATTGCACAGGACTGCGTGCAGGCGGGTTTTGAGTATCTCCAGGGAAGGAGACTCCACAACCTCCCTGGTCAGCGTTTAGAGATAATGTAATTCTATTTGACATTCCCATAGGGAAAATAGATAGACAAGGATTATGCAAAGTATTATTGGCAGTTTAATGTCAAATTTGGAAGAGTTAAATTAGGAACTGATTTGGTAACTACCAGGAACTTTGGCCTTCATCATTTTAAAAGGGCACAAAACCCAGAGAGACTCATGGAATGCAATATTTCTTTGAAAGATATCAAAGGTCATTGCAAACAAGGCCTTTTATGCTAGAACTCAGATTTTAACAAATTTAAGGAGGAATCTAAAACTAGAAGGTACTCTGTAATTCCTTTGCTAGTAAAAGCACATAAATGGTCATAGGAAAAGACATGCAGAATCACAGAATGGTAGGAGTTGGAAGGGTCCGCTAGGGATCATCTAGTCCAACCTCCTCAGCAAAGCAGGTTAGCCTAAAGCAGGTCACACAGAAACATGCCCAGATGGGTTTTGAATATGTGGATGTTTTTATAAATACTATAATTTCAGTCATCTCTTATGTGTAAAATGTCTGTATTCTTTTTTGATAGCATGCATTGCAAAAGATGATAGATTTTTCACAGAGAAAAACAATTGCTTCTTGACACAGACCAGTATTGGCATAGTTTACATTTTAACATTATTCACAAAGTTTAAATGTATTTTGTTTTAAAATATGTGAGGAAACGTAGCACCATGCTAATTCATTTCCTTCAGCAGATTTTTTAGGGGAGGAGGCAATATTCTGAAGTAGCAGGAATAAATTAAATAATATTATTAATAAATTATGTAATTTTGTAGTTAGGACCTCTTTTTTCCACATTTCAACAGTTTTAAAAATTATCTTTTCTATATGAGCCAGTTTAACTCAAACACAGATTGCAGTTTAAATATTAAGATATTATTGATCATGGTCCTGCCCACACAGGTTTTATTTACTCTTTATCAGGGGTTACATGCTGTGTAGAGTCTTTGCTGTCTTCAGTAGATTGTGTTTTTTATGCATATAGCTGAGATCTCTAACACATAATTACACTTCCTCTTGGTTTTATTTTTTTCTTTTTTTTCTAGATTGAATGCTCAAGTATATCTGACTACTCAGAAAAAATTATCAAGGCCAACCACTTGGACAACAGTAAGGCATATATAAAAATATTTTCTGCAGGAGAAAGAGAAGATGACTGTTTCACTTTTTCTGATTAATTTATGTTGTATGGTTTATATGTAAATAGTAGTTTAGCATAACTTACTTATGTAAATACAAAACTAAACACCTCTTTCTAGGCACTACAACAGTTCCTCATGGGAGAAGTTACTTCTACATTGATTTCTAAGCTCACGGACAACAGAAGCAAATAGGACTCATCCACAGGCAGTTTAATTTAGCAAAGCAGACAGAAGGCCCCATTTTAGAGCTGAACTTTTCAAATTAATTCTGCCATTTGAATTCCACCTTGTCTCTTAAATAGAATTTAACACGCACACACACATTTACAGTCAAATTGAAATAAGGTTTAACGCATTCCATATCAATGTTGAGAATCCATACCCATACAGATTTTTCACTAAGAGTTTCTTATGGTTTCCAACTTAAAAAAATATATTTTTTAAAAGAACCACATTGAAACACACACACTCACACAAATGAAGATGTTCAATTCTCAGAATAACAGTATCATAGAAAAGTGGGGGGTTTTTTTGGAAAGGGAAGTGTCGAAATTTCCAGGGATGTGGAACCACTTCAGTTTTAAAAAGTACTAAAAGTACCCTCAACCTAGTGAAAACTCTTAACAAAAAATGATCTCCAGCAAGCTCTATTTCATGTCTTCAGCCCTCCTGCAAATCACTGCATAGAAGGTATCTTTGGAGCAACCTAAAAAATGAGGCTTTTTTTAACTGAGGCTGTGAGACAGTTCTTGTTTAAAAGTGCTCTTTGTGAAGAGCTTGTCTTTGTTGCAGAGCAGTGCAGGTCATGGCCGTATTGTTTGCCCCACTTTTAGCTGTGTTTGTGCTGGTGCTATGCTAACACATGCATAGGAATAGATTTCTGTTCTGGTTTAGATCTGGTCTAATTTTTATTGCTGTCACTGGCAGCTTGTGACTAACACGGAGCTGTTTGGGAGGAGAATTTATCATACAGCATGCGTATTCAAGTGATGTGGTGTGAAAGAAACAGCAGTGATGTGGGATATGAGGCCAGCCAGTGTATGCAACTTTTGGTTCAGAAAAAAAAAGGAAGCAAAGGACCAGAAAATACTCTCCTCCATAGCAGGGTTAAGGCACTAAAACACCAACGTGTTGACATCAGCTTGATTATCCTGCACCTTTGGTGCAGAGCCCCTATATTCCCAGAATGGCCTTTCATCACATAGCTACACAAACAGCACACCACAAATCAATTCACATTTGGATTTCCAGCAACAGGAATATTGTGTGAAGAAACCATTGTCAGAATAAATAAGAAGGATCCAGTGTGCTCCAGAAGCTGCAGAAGGTATTTATCTCTGCTTCTGCCTCCTGTTTCTCCAAGGAGCAAGTCCTTGGAAACACTGTGAAGGAAGAAGCAGAGACCCCCTTCTGTTTGGCAGGAGACTTGCCTGGACAGTTACAGCAGTCTGTCCGACTGCAGTTTGGTCTCAAATATAAACAAATTACAGAACTGAACTAAAATTTACACTTACACAATTTATACTGACACACTTTTATTTTAATGCGACCAGGTATTGAGACAAAGGATCTTGTTGCTCATGGAAATTTTTCTTCTTTTCCCTGTTTAGAGAAATGCAGAGTCAGCTGTCGTGGTTTGAGCCTAGCCAGCTGGCTCCAAAAGCACCACAAAGCTGCTCACTCACCCCCCTACCCTGTTCTCCTGAGGGGTGGGGAGAAGAAAATGCAGGCTTGAGGGTCGAGACAAAGGACAGGGAGGGCTCACTCAGCAATTATGGTCACAAGCAAAAGACAGACTCAACTTGGGATGCAACATACATTTAATACAAAACAACCACCATCATCAAGGAGAATGAGAGATACAACCAGGTGTTAAAACCAACACACCTTCCCCTTCCCACCCCTGCAGTCTTCCCGGGCTCAGCTCTGCTACCTCTTCCGCCCCAGCAGGGAATAAGGGTTACAGTCAGTCTGGCACAAAATGTCTCCGCTGCTCCTCTGTCCTCAGGCAGA